GGGCCAACAACGTGTTGCAAAACAAGGTAACGCTTTAGTTGTAGAGCCACGTTTCCCAAGTGAATTAAAAAGAGAAAACGTAGTACTTGGTATCTAGAGAAAAAAATGTGTTATTACAATTTTCTCTGATGTGCCAGTTGATGTACTCAAATTGTGTTGATCCAGGCCACAGGGGCTTGCCGTCAGTTGACAAGCCCATGTGGTTTACAGTAACCGAAAGTACTTTCAACCTCCGGTTTTAACCAAGCTTGTCCCGAGTTAGACTCTTTTAATTTTACAGGAAATGGTTTATTAAGATTGTTTTCAAGTACATTAAGCAAATAATCTAAAACAATATGGGTTAAGCAAATGTTGCTTTACACAGTAATTGCATAAATTATGTTAATATTTCATTTCAAATCTGAAATATTTGATTTCAGATTTCAGCCGTGTATAGCCATACATTTGTTTCGCGCACGTCTAGTGGCATTATTTCAAAGGTTGTAAAAATGACACAGTGTCAATTGACTTTAAAATTAGTAATTATTGACTGTGAATGTTAGCATACTTCATGAAATACGCAACATCGGTCTGTCCATATGACTCGTCACAGTACATTACACAAAAATCCACTGATTTCATTGTTTTGTTTTGCCATTTAAACACATGGAATTAACAGAGTGATTATGTAAATTAGCATTTTCCAACCTTTCTGACCTCCATTAATCACTGAAAATCTAAATACAAGTCAGCATCGCACATGCTTAATTCCAATATTCTCCAATCTGATGTTTTATCAGATATTAGATAACGTGTCTGTAATGAGATAAATGGTGTTTTCAATGAAAAAAATCAGTAGTTACTCACAATGCTGAAATCAATATTTGGAATTAATATGATTGAAAAATGGAGACATATACAAATATTCTGGAAAAGATTATTTTTCTGAGACTAATGATGTAAAATATGCTAAAAGACCATATACAACCATATATGTAAGTGGCATAGGTTCTAAGAAAACAATTTCTTGGCTGTGCGTCTATCAAACTTTTTAGTGCAATGTGATTTGCCTGTTATTTCGTGTGACTACATACGAGTATGACATGTATTATATGTGTATACATGTATTAGTATATCTATCTTTGGCATATAAAATCAATTTCTAACTATCGGAACAGGTTCAATTCAATTCGCATCTTTTAGGGTGAATATAACGTAAATACATTTCGGTTGAGTGTTTTACTTCATGCACATAAGTATACAAATTAGGTAATTAAAATAATTATACATAAATCGTCGCATCAGTACTTTCTGTTCTCAAGTTTAACGTTTATCACCATACACATTTACCCAGACATCATCTGGCTGTACTACATTCAGTGCAGTAACTCATATACATGTAGTCCATATTTTGTGAATTTAACAGGTTACCATGGAAACAAAATGACAGATTTTGGGTCTTTTCACGTCTTTTTTTTAAGGACTAGATGTATATCATGTAAATGCAGTGTATACGTTTTTGTCAGTGATATATACTATGTAATCAAATAAATTATTGATCACATAGCATTTGCCCGTATTATTATAATCATTTCTCTAGCTTTATAGTTAAGGACAATATGTCTGCTTTGCCCAATTTTCATACATTCTGAACCGGGTACCGTGGAAACATCGCTTGAAGATCTCTGTATAATGTAAAAAGGTTAAATTACGCCATGTGAGCACCTTCAGTGATTCCATGGTGTTTGTCCTCTACATTTTTTTTTTAATTCTATAATGGCTTGTATTTTGTTCCAGGCCAGAAATCTATAATACCTATTTAAATATCAGTACACAGTTTCTACAACAAAACCTATTTCACACAATAAGTTGATTTTCTGAATTCATTTTATGTACATAATATGCTATAACATATTTCTACATTTTCAATCACATTTAAGTTGTAATATACAAGTCAATCGTCAGACAGATTTTACATTTGTTTTCTTCATATAATATTAGTATTGAACATGGGAGCAGATTCAGTTTCTGTTGCTTTAGAATGTGCCAATTATAGTAACAGAAATAGTGACAACCACCCTATAAACTGACATGCCCGAAGAAGATACCAATTATTGATTGAGAAACAAACAAGAGGATAATATACCATCAAACACATCTTACGTTGGTGGTTTGCAGTAAGAATTTCAGTTCAGTTGCATAACTGTATGTAAGTATTCATTTAAAAAACTAGCATATAAACTCTCGTGTTTAGCGTCGAACATTTTCGTCGTGAGAGATTGAGGGAAAGAAAAGTATTGTGGTAAATATTGTATACACATACTAATAAAATTAATCGAGAGACCAAGTTGAGCATGTCACCCACTCCAAAAGAACATAGTTTAGTTTACATAATTGCTTTCTTAGACGTGTTATTATGAATTGTAAGGTTCGTACTTACTCGTACTGCCTTAGAAAGTGGCATATGAATGTCATCTGAAATCTACATAAACATTCTAAGACAGTGATAAATAGAGATGTGTAATTATGTTAACAATTTCATGTTAAGCAATGTGCCACTCACCGTTAACAGATGCAGAGTTGTGCGGTTCAAATAACTTTTTAAATTATTGTTTCTGTAGTGGCTAAAATTCTGTAAAACCATTTACCAGAAATCACCCACCTCTCTACCAACTATTTAGTCAGAAAGTCAGTCAGAAAGAACATGCTACTGTTGCAAGATGACTGGTTTCCCACTCGCTGTGTTTACAAAAAATATATATAAGTAAGCTTCTGCAGACGTGTTGTCATTGAATGTAATGTGAAAAGATCTTATTAATGTGAAAACAAACGTGTAAAATTACTATATCGTTATTGTCAATAAAATAGAACAACGGATCGGACTATCGCGGAGAGGCTGTATAATTTCATAGCTGTTGTCTAGCGAATGCGAATGTAAATAAAAAAACTGACAGTACAGGCAATAACACGATTAATATTCAAATCTAAAAACCGCCAAAAGCTTTTTTTGCAATTCGTATTATTGAATGGAAGGGGGAATCAGGTGAGCGGAAATTATTATCACGGCATACATAACCAATTCGATATGAATATGGTGGTCGAAACTATGTTGTCGAATTTAAACAACCTAACGAGTTTATGACGTCTTCTATCGGCGGTTGACGGATTCGCATGCTTACACGAGATATAGATATACCAATAAACCAACCTGATATGAATCAATGTCATATAATGACGTAATGAAATGTTATCTTTATCATTGAAAGAAAAGGTAACAATTGTGGCCAGACGTGGCGTTGTGTCACGGATTGCTTAGGACATCGCCATGATTATTCACCCATAGGCTCTTTGCGTACATAAAATATGTATGACCGCTAAAAGCTGCATATTCGCAAGGTTACATACACCTTGTCTAGAGTAAACAGGCGCGTATTGATTTACGTAGTACTTATGTCTAAAACGCTCAAAGGGGTAAAGTTCCTGGTATGCGATATTTGATTTTGATTATTATTCTAGATCTTCGTATGGTGTGCCAGTAGGGTCAAATTTGAAAAACACCAATAAATAAAAGAATAAATAAATAAATAAATAAATAAATTAAAGTATAAAACAATAAACAGAAGAAAAAAAGAAAAAAAGAAATTAAAAAATAGGAGAATAAATAAAATAATAAAATAAAAAATAAAACAATAGAAAAATAAATAAAACAATGAATAAAAACTTAAATAAATAAATAAATAAATAAATAGAAACAAAGAACAATAATTAAAAGAATAAAAAAAGGGAATAGGAAAATAAATAAAAGAATATAAATTTTAAAATAGAATGAGCTTATTTAAAGAAGTGTTTTAAAAAAGTTGTTTAAAAGTAAACCATCGTTGCGTCGCAACAGAGGTAAAGCTTTGACTCCAACCTTTAACCCAAAAGTCCCAACGCACATGTCGAGGGAAAGTCAGTTTGGTATCTGCGACTGAATCACCTCACCGAGCCGCTGATAACGTGGTGTAATTATTGTACAAACACCAATACCAAACAAGTCGTAGTTCCAAGTTCACAAAACAACAGCAGATCCTAGAATAGAGTCCTTTCTAAAAAAAACTTCAGCAAATATACATATATAGGCGGCCCGAGTTCAACAAGTGTGTTGGTATTTCGGCCACACGTGCACCAAATTGTGAATAACATAGCTTGTCTTCGCTTCAGTAATTCAGAATATAATATGTTCATGAGATATTCGTGCTCGCCGCTTTTGATTTCTTCTCTAAACCAGCAAGTTTCAATTGATTCTTATCCTCAGTACTTGGCGTCTTTCACAAAACTTATGTGTCTGTCACGGTGTGTTTGGGACTTGGGTTAAAGGTTGTGGTCAAAGTTTTAGCTCCGTTGCGACGTAACGGCGGTTTACTTTTTACCTTCGTTGCGCCGCAACGGCTGTTTACTTTTTAGCTCCGTTGCGACGCAACGGCGATTTAGTTTTTAGCTCCGTCGCGCCGCAACGGCTGTTTAGTTTTTAGCTCCTTTGCGACGCAATGGCGGGTTACTTTTAAACAGCTTTTTAAAACACTTATTCAAATAAGCTCATTCTATTTTTCAATTCTTTCTTTTAATTGTTGTTCTTTGTTTCTATTTATTCTTTTACGTTTTTATTTATTATTTTATTTATTCTTTATTTATTCTTTTATTCTTTTATTTATTTTTTTATCTATTCTTTTATTTTATTTATTCTTTTATTTATTGGTGTTTTTCAATTTTGGGCTTTATGGTACACCATATTCGTTCCGTTGCCGCGATTGGTCACAATTTCCGATTACATTAGTTTAGAGCATCCGAATTTCTTGAATATTTCAGTAAGGAAGATGACATTGTTCCTCATACGTATTTGGGGTCGTTTCAATATTATAATATTGAAACAAGCATGTTTACAGCCCAATATATGCGTGTTGGTGTGGGGGTGTATACGATCTGTGGCTAATTCATTGCCATGAAAATCTACTTGAATGTACATGCATCCCTCAGAAAAAATGGAATATCCAAATTGTAAAAACCAGGCACAGCTTCGCACGGGAATAGTTGCTGACTATGTTTATACAATGTCAACAGAAGAGACAATAGCGTCTGGTTTGGGTTCTATTGCGGACATAGCTGTATGCACTTACTTAGTAGTGATGTGTAAGTTTTCAATTTAAGTGTTCTTAATTTCTGTAAATGTACACATTGTAACTACCATCCACGTAGATTTTACATCACACATATGTACTCAATGTGAACAAGCTAGGTTTTTAACATTATTTTTTATTTTTGTAAAACCTTGGTATTGATATATGACAAACGGCATGTAAAGGACGATCGTCGCGCAGTGCGTCTTCGTATTACATGTAAACAAGCAATGTATTTTACACGCGTTGTGAACGTCGCTACGCGGCGCGACGACCACCGTGTTATGTGTTAATTGAAATAAATAGTTTATGCTTTGTACGGTATATAGGTATATATAATTATTTAATTGAAACTTTAGCATGTTCATTTTATAACTTTTGAAAATCTTTCTCTATATTTCATCAAAATGTTTCATGATGCGTGTTTTTTAAAACGTGTTCAGTGGAACGGTTGTTGTAACTGCTTTGCCAATGCGATAGGGTCGAAAATATCACACATAAGACGAATTTCAAATAAACAGTGTTTATTTGTTTTACAAACATTAATCTAATCTACTAACATTATTTACACAAGTAAATTTCGTCATTATGATATTAACCCGACTGATGGATTGGATTTTCGGATCTTGAACAAGACAGCGTGATTGTCCATTACTGTCGACGTAACATCGATGAATGCCCAAATACATTCATTCAGTCAGTCAGCCAGTCAGCTAATCAGACTCGGCTCCTACCTCGTACCGCCTAAGGCGAGAGCTGGACTGGTCACCTGTATGCTGTTTACTTTAAATTTACGTTAAAATGTATACATACATGTTGTGGGACTGTATTTTAGGGATTAGTTAGCAAAGAATCTTCATTAACACTGTTAACATATGGTACTTTTAGTACCACTGTTTAAACCAGGTGACTCAAGTGTTATATCGTTTTTCGCTTTTACTGTTTATTATAATAATGTTGGTTATTCCTATCGTTTACTGAATGCGTGTCAGATTCAGTGTTTGTGTTGTTGTTTTTTCTGTTTGTATTGTTTTACAACACACCGGCAATTATTTCTAATACAGCCTGACATTTTATATAACACGTGGGCAATTACTTGGTAGACAGACCATCATATAAAGATGCAATCAATCATGACATCTTTTAAGCCAAATATGCACCCTATTTCTAAAGGAAACACCGCGTATATACTTTTTAATTCGTTTGATGCATGTCCAATGTACTAAAAAAGTAAAAAGGACAAACGTTGCAGAGAACTAGCTTTGGAAAGAAAAAATAGAACCCAATATTCAATTCGTGGTATTGATATGACTTAGTTATCGCCGCACAATTACATCAATCAACTCGATGTAGGCTTCAACATTTTCACTCCCCAATGTTGCTACACCGTACGGCATATTACGTATTAAGTTGTAGAAACGTCTGAGTGGCGGGCAACTAGTCGAACAATCCCAACAACAATATTACAGAATCTAATGGTAAACGCTAGTAAATACGTCACAATTTTAATAATCAACAAAATATACATACAAAACTTATAAGTTACACGTAAACTATGAATAACAGGAAAGATACTTACTTAATATGTTGAAGTTCGAAATGTTCAATTCACTCAACTGCAACATTGAAAAGAACTTAGGTCAATTATCATCGGTTACATATAGGGTGAGATTTTCGCCCAAATTACCCATATCAATTGCTTCCCATTATTTGTGATTATTTCGAAATTGCTAGCTGATATTATATTATTTGTTGTTACGTCATTTTTTGATCATCTGGGTCTTTATTTGAACATTATTATTGTTACTTACTCTAGAATTATTCTATTATTTCGTTGTTATTTTCACAACTATTTTGTCAATATTTTCCAATTATTTGAATATTTCTTTGCTCAACATTATTAAACTATTTTACTATTTAGTCAGCTTATTTCACAAATAATGTAATTAATTATTGTCATAAATATACAATGATTATTTTTTCACCTTTTTTACCTTTGTTTTAACGATATTTCATCATTATTCGCTTGCGTTTGGCGCCTGATAATTTTTATGGGAAAAAAGTTGAAATACTTAAAAAAATAATTGTTCAACCTTGCACCCAAACTTAAATAAATAGTCATATTCCCATCCGTAATGGTTATTTTGACACAAGTTAGCTAATTTAGTAATCTATATCAAAGTACAGCAAATTGAGTCTACTCTAGGCGTGTATATATGTGCTCGCTTACAATCTTTCGTTCAAGTAATAGAAATAAATAATTGTGGCAGGAAAATAGCTCATGAGACTCATCTCTTAAAAACAGAATCGTAGTCTGAAAAAAGGTGTACATGTGTCTGGAAAGGAGCATTCTTTCCGCATTTTGACATTTTAGAATGGGGTGTGGGTTTGTATGTTCTGGTGGACACGTGACACTCCTACCTGTTGAGTACCCGGTCCTAAGAGTTTGACCACAACTTCCAAACCCAAGATCATTTGAAAGTGAAAATTATACCACATTTTAGACAACCCCTTGGACACACTGGCTTCCCATTGTTACCTTCCATCATTAAAATGTTTTGAAAATATTTGTCTACTGTTTTAGACCCAAACGATTGGTATGTTCACCTACCATTTTAAACCAATATGTGCGATATGTAGATAGTATTTTAGGCGAAATTGCTGAAAAATAATCCCAAACGAACAGTACGTCTCCATTTGTGAAAGTGTTTCCTGGGAAAAATAAAACAAATCGTGATGAAATAACAGTGAAAAAATATTGACCAAATTGTTGAACAGTAATGAACCCATAATGGGCGAAAGCTCACTTTGTACGACATAT